ACGTGATTGAAATGCAGTAAACAGTGGCTGAATGGAGAAATGGATGAATCCTATGCTTTTTTGTATTCCCCTAATTTTTGCATGGTTGGACTGGTCGTCCTACCTAGATGGCGTGTGCTGTGACAGTAGAGACCATGTCTTTCATTTTTGCCTTTGGTATTGACACAAATCTAGGAAGAACCAGGGGATCAGATAAGCAGGTCTGTGAAGACCCAGCCTTGGTTCCCATTATTATTTGAAGCTTTTCTGGTGTGCTTGGGTTTCCCTCAGTACTGGACCTTTGTCCCTTGTCCTGATGCTGGATGAATCAGCGGTGCTTCTGGGAGTATGAGAGGCTTGGTGATTTGGACATGGAAAGCTAAGGGTGTACCATGGCCCATTTACATCAATTTTGTCTGTTTGCAAAGTATTAACATTTATGCATTAATTCGTTTTTGGCAGCTGGCCAGTACGGGGACCTGTTCCCTTGACCTTGGTGGTGTTAACACTGTGCTCTACCAAGCAAGCTAACTGGCCAGCCCCAATTTTTTTTTAACTTGGGTAAAATGTACATGAGCTTTAAAATCATTTTATTACTCTGTAATTTTGAAATATTTCATAACTATTTTAATTGTCCCAAAATATACATAACATAAACTTTACCATTTCAACCATCTTTAGTGTACAGTTCAGTGGCATTGAGTACGTCTGTCTCCAGAACTTTTTTTATTATCTCAGAAACTCAGTACCCATTAAACACTGACTCCCCATTCTTTCCCCCCAGCACCTGGCAACTACCTTTCTACTTTCTGTTTCTATGAACTTGACTGCTCTAGGTACCCCGTATAAGTGGAATCGTATAATATCTGTCCTTTTGTAACTGGCTCACTTCACTTAGTATAAGTTCTTCAAAGTTTCATCCTTGTAGCATGTACCAGAATTTTTTTTTTCCTTTTTAGGGATGAATAATATTCCATCTTATGTATAGATCACATTTTCTTTATCCATTCATTGGCTGATGAACACTTGGGTTGTTTCTACCTTTTGACTATTGTGAATAATGTTTACATCAGTGTTTTTAAGAAAGAAGCATATTTGTGACAATGAAACATAAACAGATTGTATTTTGCTACATAGTTCCAAATAATAACACATAGAACATAAAGAAATATAAGAAGCAAAAATAAACAAACCACAAGAACAAAAACCAATTTCAGTTCAAAGGATAAGCAGCATTGCTTCATTAAATAAGCATTTGCTAAAGGCCCCAGATGAGCCAGGCATACACCCTGAGTTTCCAACCAGCCACAGGAGGATCCGCCCCAACAGAGGCAGACGAGGACTAGGGAGTTAGCTTTGACTGTGGGTAGAATGTGGTTGGTGCCACAGAGGAGGTACAAGCAAGATCTTCAGGACTCCAGAGGCAGGGAAAGAACCCTCTGGTTGATGGGGTCTATGAGGAGTGCTCTAGGGAGATGGTAGACTTTGCTAAGTGAAGTGGGTAGGGGAGGTGTTGACTGTGGGAAGTTCCTTTGCTCTGCTCTCCTTTGCTAAACCCAACTTGTATTTTTCTGTTTCCTCAGCCTATCCTGAGGGCTTTGGGTTTCACGTTACTCGCAGCTATTAAGCAGTTGTAATCCTGCATTTAAGCAACCTTGTTACTCACTCTGAGTTGTCTGTCTCCAACAAGTGGCTGTATTTATTTGCCTGACCTGGTTCTTTTGGGTGTGTAAGGGCAACCAAGCTCCGGTCAGCCTTGTGGAAGAGCTGCTTCTCTTCCCGTGATCTGCAGCACAGCTCCTGGTTCTCTTCTGCTCACTGGGTGGGCGCAGACTTGCAACC